TCAGCCAAAGAAGACAGCAGTAGGACATTAGACCCTGGGAAAATGGGAGTGTCCAGAATTTTTCTCCTTCCTCTCTTTATCAGGTGGCTTCTGCTTCAACTGTTGTAGCGTCCCTTGATTCCAGCCTCCATCAGATTAACCCACAATGGTTCCAGATCTCCTTCTTCTAGGCTGAACTTCTAGGCTCCAGTAGCACCATCTCCTCTATTTGTCCTGCTCATTTAGATGTGGCAGTGACTTGCACAAGTGGCTAAACATTGATCTTCCTGATTCTCCCGTTTGATTTCTGCATCACTTCCATAACCAATTTCCTGCACTAAATGCCATTGATTTATATACTTAAACTCATTGGATAATCCCTTATTGTTACAGTTGGCCAGTTATACTAACTGATTTTTATTTTTAAATTGTCCTTCCATTCCTACAGAAAACTCAACTCTGTTACTAGTATTCTCTGTCATTAGTCTTTGTGTTTTTTCTGGTATTAATAAACAAACAAAAAGTAGCAAAATGCTCCTGGACCCTGAAACTGCATCTAACTAAATTTTTTTCCTCTTCACAGCTTACACAAGATAATTTTCTCCACTCAGTAGTGTTTACATATATTGTGAAAACTAAGCATGTTAATAATAGGCTCTACAGGACCAATTATGTGAAGCAGATCAAGTGGTATTCATAGATATATTTACAGCCTTTAACCAAATTTCTGGAACAAAGGAAATATTTGAAATATCCAAATGTTTAGAAAATGCTAGAGAAGGAATAGAAATTTAAGCTCAGAGAAAAAGGTAAGAAATAATGAAGATAAACATAAGTTCACAATTTAGGAGACAATAGAACCAACTCACGAAGGCCAATTCTTACAAAAGACCTGATGACAGATAATTGTATAAGATATTATCAATTACAAAAGAAACAGAAATAAGTGATATTAATTAAATATTGTATAAAATATAGCTGCAGAGGAGATTTAAATATTATAAGAGAACACTAGATATATGTTATAACAATATCACAGGATAAACAAATGGCAGACAAGGAAAGGCTCCTACCTATAGAAGAATTTCAGGTATTAAATAAAAAAGAAATGAGGGCTGGCCAAGTGGTGCATTGGATAGGAGTTGTCTTCGGATGCCAACTCTGAGCAGCAGGGTCCCAGTTCGGATCCCACATGAGGGCCAGTGACGCTGCGTCCTCTACAGTTAAGATGGTGAACAACAGCTCAACCTGGATATGGGCTGCAGTGAGTCGCCAGCGACAGCTTAGGCTGCAGTGGGGCTGGCCAGCAGCAGGCGTGAGCTTTCATGAGCGGCCGTCCGATGGCCAGCAAGCGACTGCCTCACCCGGGAAGAGCGCAACCATAATACCAACAAGGGCCAGTGAAGCGACATGCTCCACAACTGGACTGAAGAACAAAACAGCAATTTGTCTGTCTGTTCCCCTTCCCCGATTCCCCAACGCTGTTCCCCTCCCCCCAATTCCCCAAGAAAATCTTTAAAAAAGAAAACAAACAAACAAACAAACCCTGACAATTGTAATTAACAATTGTAAACGGAAATTCTAGGTCAAAGCCACCTAGACCCGATCAGATTGGAAGCCAGTTGTACCATATAATCAGGCAAAAACTAATCAGCATCTTATGTAAGCTATACCAAATCACACGAAAAGATTTGAAATTATTCCACACATTTTTAAGAAGCTAGTTCTCTTTGATACATTCCAGATTGATGAGAAGACCAAGAAGGAAGAAAAGAGTATCTGAGCCTAGCCCACTAGACTGTTCAAAACTGGACTGGAAAACGTAGCCAGAGAAATAACAACAGAGAAGTAAATCAGAAGTATGAAAAATGCAAAGAGAAAGATAATATTTATCATGCCCATATGATTTTTACATATGCAATGTCCAATAAGCTCAAAAAACGGCGACTTTCAAAATCATTTCAGTCCTTCCCTGTGCAAAGTAAAATTTTTACAACAAAATTTACATGCGATTAAGTCCAAGTCTGACTGTCGAAGAGAAGGAATAGATCAACGTTTGAGTTTGCTCTGAGAGCCCCCCAGCTGCCCTGGCCGCTGCCCGCCTTGTGCTCTACTTCCCCATTTCACGTTAAATCTGGACACAGCCCATTCCAAGCTCTGCAAGGGTTGCGATAAGTAAACTTATCAAGAGATTGTTGCGATGTGGCATTTCCCAGGAGGCTTTAAGTCATGAGAAAGGAGCCCAGAAGAGAACCCCAGTGAATGAGGACAGAGAGACCAACACCAGAGAATAAAGGGTGTGTGTATGTGTGTGCGGGGGAGGGGGCGTCTCACAGAGATGTGATATGGCAGCACCTGCTTTCAACCCTAAAAGGCCCAGGCAGTGCTGTCAGGGAAATAAGGACCTTGGCATGAGGGGCACAACGTTGGCTCAGCAAAAGGAGGAATCCTGGGGCATGGCAGAAGTCAAGTGAGGACTGCGAGTGAAGCCAGCAAGCACCTCCGCTATGAAACTGAACCAGGTGGGCAGAGCCCCGCCCACAGCTGTAACCGGATGTCCCACCCCCTGACTTTCGGCTTGCAGCCTGGGGCCGGAGAGGACTTCGATCTGAGGCGCCGCGGGTTCTAGTCAAAGGAAAGAAGTGTCCCAGTGCTGGCAGGAGTCAGGTGAGACTCTAAATGAGGACTGAGGGCAGCACCCACGACAGAAAAGGGGACCAACTAGATAAGAGCACTAACCCCACCCTGGGAGGCCCCGGACAGGGCTGTGAGGTGACCTACGCCACACTGTTTTGGTGCGCTGACTCGAGGGCAGGGCCTTCCGGTTCAAGTGGAGGTGGATGGAGAGAGGGTTTGGGGGTGGGGGGAGGGGCGGAGGGTCGTAAGCGTCTCCGATTTGCCACTTGTCGTGAAAAGGCACCTGAGCGAGGACTGAGGGGACCACCCACCTCAGATCGTGGCAGCGGCTTCTGTGAGCCTGGGCCGTCTCTAGTCCTGGGAGGCCCCTGGCGGCCGCAGGAAGGGGCGGCCCCAGGCGGTCTCTGGTGGCTCCAGGCAGGGGTGGCTAGAAGTGTTGCTGACTACATTTCTGCCTTCGGAATCTGAGGGAGGTGAGCCTTCAGGCTGAGGTACGAGGTGTCGTGTCGGCAGTGGAGGGAGTCCCAGGCCCTGTTGGAGTCCCGGAGAGGACCCCGGTGAATTCTCAGGTTTCCTCGGATCCCGGGGCGGAGGGTGTGGTGCAGTGTCGAGCCCCCTTTTTCAGCCCTAGTAGTCCTGTGCATGAGGTGCCTCCTCCATTTAGGGGTCTCAGAGAGACGGGGCCTCGATTGGAAGGCGGGGCCTCAGGTGATAGATGGCCGCGGGCACGTGACCAATCTGTATCCAATTTGAGGAGCTCCTGCGAAGATTGTGGGATAAACCAACCCATGTCAGAGGGGGCGCCAGCCCTTCCCCTGCTGTCAGCCCCGAGAGGCCCGGGGAAGGGATGGCAGCCAGGGGAGACTCCTCCGTTGCTACGCTAGGCCCTGGAATGGGAAGAATTTGTTCTGAATAGATTAGTCAGTGGAAGGAACGCCCCACGCCTTGACAGGCATCATTGAGTTATGTCTGAAGGACAAATTCACCACATAAACGGGAGGTCCCACAGATCTTCGTGAACCCTTGGGAAGTCCCAAGCAGTGATAGCGAGATGAAATACCCAATCACTCTTCCATGGTGTTTACTGGGAAGTACGGCCTTGTTCTGATGGGCAAACTCATGTCCAAAGGAGAAGTCCCAGGCCATGCTGGGCTCCCAAGTGTAGACCCCAAGACAAGACCATTTCATCTCTTCCTTCCCAGTTGTCTCAATGAGAATAGTCTTTTTCTGGCAGGGGAGGCATTAGGTATCAGAAGGTGGGGACTGAGGTCTGACCAGTAACCAGAGTACAGACCGTGAGAGAGGGCTGAGAAAATTACCCATCCCGTCAGTAACTCTGCTTAGCCCTGCTGCCATCCCTGGGAGGCCCTGAACAGAGTTGTGAGGCTGAGACATTCCCTTACTTGCTGCTCCTTGAACTATGGGTGCAAACGATGGTTCTGTGGAAGTGATGTATGATCACAGGACCTATCTTTAGGGGAAGGACCCTAAGTGAGGCTGATGGGGACACCCTCCCTAGAACAGAATGAACTCCACGGAGCCCTATCCTGCTGTCACACTCCGGAAACTGTGGCTGTGATGCCCCCTGAATTCATCCTCAGTGGTCACAGGGGCAAGACTGTTTAGTGTGAGGGAGCAACATCACATCAGAGGGGAGGAGTCTCTTATACTCTAAAGTTTCAAGCTGTAGACATGTGAGAAAAGAGCTGACCATCCACTTGAGTGAAGATGGGACCCCATGGTATCTACCCTGCCTCTGTAGTCATCCCTGGGAGATCCCAGACAAGGATGGCCTGTAGTCTCAACAGCTCACTTCATACACTGGGGTCCAAGGGAGATGGTAGTTTTGGTCTGAAGGGGCCAGGTTGAGATCAGCAGTGGACAGAGTGACCAGGCAGTCCAGGATTCCACATGGAGACACAGAGTAAGGACTAAAAGGAGATATGATTTGGTCTCAGGGGGACAGCCTCATTTAGCATGGGGGAGGTGACCCAGACTCTGTCAAATGCCTAGGTAATCAACCTGAGTGAGCACTAAAGGGACCACCCTCTTCAGAACAGAAATGGCTCTATAGAACCCAACCACACCTGCCTGCTGTCATCCCTGAGAATTCTCAACCTGGTTGGCTGGCTGCACCCCAGGAAACAGTCAGAATTCCTCCTTCACGTTCTTGCGGGGACATAGAAACCAGAAAGTCAGGAGACCTATGAGGCCCTTATAGAACTGTCAGGAGAGGTCCATGGGAGGCAGCTTTTATCAGAGCCACCACAGTGGAACTTAGCAGCTGAGGTCACTCACATCTGCCTTCTTTCCCTTAGGCAGCGATTCCCCATTGCCTGCCTTCTTGTTCACACTCCTCATTACTGCCCCCCACAGGAGTCGTCATGTCTTTTCGTCAGAAGAATCTGCAGTGCTCACCTCAACAATCCCTTCGGTCCCACAGTGAGATGCTGGGCCTGGAGACTGCACAGCTCTCCGAGGCCCTGGAGGAGACCCATCTCTCCTCGCATCCCCCAATGCCTGGCAATTCAAAGGGGGCTCCCGATGCTGGCATACCTAGAGCTCCTGACGATGCTCAGAGTTTCTACTCATCTTCCACTGCCGTCAGAGCCACCTCATCAAGCAAATCATATACAGGCTCCAGTAACCAAGAGGAGGAAGATAGCGCCTTACAGGCTGGGCCAGACCCCAGGAATGTGCCCAGGAATGCTCTAGATAAGAATGTGGCCTTGTTGGTGAATTACATGCTGCTCAAGTATCAAAGGAGAGAGCCAGTAACCAAGGCAGCTATGTTGAAGAAGGTCACGAAGGGGTACAAACACCACTTCGTTGAGATCCTCCAGAGAGCCTCTGAGCGCCTGGAAATAGTCTTTGGCCTTGATATGAAAGAAGTGGATCCCATCAACCACTACTATGGTCTCCTCATCAAGATTGGCCTCACCTATGATGGGATGCAGCATGGTGAAAAGGGCGTGCCCAAGACCGGCATCCTGATACTCATCTTGGGTGTGATCTTCATGAATGGCAACCGTGCCACTGAGGAGAAAATCTGGGAATTTCTAAATTTGTCAGGGCTGTATCCTGGGAAGAAGCACTTCATCTTCGGCGAGCCCAGGGAGCTCATCACCAAAGTATTTGTGAAGGAAAAATACCTGCAGTACCAGCAAGTGGCCGACAGTGATCCTGCGGAATTTGAATTTCTGTGGGGCCCGAGAGCCCACGCTGAAACCAGCAAGATGCAAGTCCTGGAGTTCCTGGCCAAGATTCATGAGACTGACCCAAGTTCTTTCCCATCGCAGTATGAGGAGGCTTTGCAAGATGAAGAAGAGAGGGCCCATGCCAGAATTTCAGCCAGGGCTGTCTCTACCTCCGTGGCCGCTGCCAGTTTTCACACCAAGCCTAGCAGCGGCTCCCACACTTAGGGAAGTCAGGGATAGTTTCCTTATGCATTGTTGGAAGAGGCAGTTAGTGGTCATAGAATTTAGGCATGAGATGGAGCTGAAAGGGACACAGCACATATGCCTGTGTTCCTATTCTGTATGTGTAACTTGAAAATGTATTCTTTTATTTTTTGACATACGAATTGTTCAAATGTGTTTTTTGTGTGTAGATTTAATTAGCTTTAAAATCTCCAAGTTTATGAATGATATTGGTCACGCATTTGATGATCTAATGAGGTTTCATAGGAAGAATTTTGTTGTTTTGGAAAACGAATTGGGAAACCATCTCTTGTTGTCATCTGGAGTAAAATAACATGTCATTTCTATAGGCATTTACTGGAAACGTGAAAGAAATGTTTTAAGATAGCTGGGTGCAAGAAATAGAGACCAAATAAAAGATTGTTAATGTATTGCCATCTTATACCTTTTATGTTTTGTTTTGTAAATTTAAATGATACATGCTTGAATTTGCTTAACTTGTTTGCAAATGTGTAAGAAATAAATCTTGATAAATGAGATCCTTACTATTCCTTTTATTCCCCAAATTTTATTGAAAATTTGCTATCTCGACATCACCACATTAGTCCTCAAGATTCTAGGATAAGCAAGGCCTAGGACCTGCCCTTATAATGTTTACTTACAGAATTGGCAATTCTATAATAATAATATTGGTTTATCTTCTGATATCTAGAGGGCAAGTGTAAGACGGAGTTCGCAGGAGAGTGGAGGTGTTCTATATGAGACTGTCAAGCATAAATGCCCTGAGGAAGGAAATTGAAGGCTTGGGGAAGCTGAAATTCCTTCAGTGAGATTTTATCTTACATTAAATTTGGATGTAGGGCAAGAAGAGGCTGAGGGCATGGTGATCAGGGATCAGACCTACAGATGGTGGGCCTCGGAGTTTCGACTTGAAACCTGGAGTGGAACATTGTTCATGATTACTTTGGGGTCATGGTTCAAAAAGAGAAATCTCCACTGCGGCAGGAATGGATGTTGTCCTGTGATCTTGCCCCTGTGCCATTAAAAACTACTTTTTTTTTTTTTAGATTTCATTTTTCATTGGGGAGTTGGAGAAGGGGGACAGTGTAGGGGAATTGGGGAAGGGGAACAGCCAAGTTATTGTTCTTCAGTCTTAGTTGTGGAGGGTGCAGCTAGCTCAGCTCCGAAGTCTAGTCGCCATTCCGCCGCCCGTTGGCTCCTTTCAGCTGCTCACTTCAAGGTGCCGTGTTCAATCTTAGTTGCGAGGGGTGCACTCCACCATCCCATGCAGGAGTTGAACTGGCAACCTTGTTGTTAGGAGCACGTGCTCTCACCAGCTGAGCTATCCTGCCACCTGTTCGCAGCTCAGTGGCAGCTAAGCTCGGGCGCAGCTCACTGCTCCATGTGGGAATTGAATCCGCGACCATGTTGCTCAGAGCTTGGGCTCTTAACCAACTGAGCCACTCCAGCTGCCCACATACTAAGTCTTTTATGCACATCATGTTCAAGGAGTTTTTGAAAGGTAACAGTGACTTTCCTGAGGTGAGAAACCTTAGGAACCACTGAGTTATCCTTTGTTTCCCTGGGCTGGGAGAGTCAGAGATGACTCCTTTTAAGGGGTATTTTAAATAGGTTATTTTAAGTGTAATTTGTCATAGTATAAGAAATGCTTATAGTTTTTCTGGGTGTGAAATTAGTGAAATTAATGGTGGTTAGAATGGAACAGAAGCTAAGGCGGTAAGGGATTCATCCTTGAAGAAATTCTAGGAATTTCGAGTTGGCATCCAGCTGGAGAAGAATTTCCTTGCCTATTATTAAAGAACACAACTTTGGGAGATATATATTTACTGTGGTTTACTAGCTAAGCAGCATTTTGGTTGGTCTGATATTCCATGTCCTGTGGTGCTGTATATTCTATGAGACGCACTGGATTTTAAAAAATCACGTAGGTGAAGGTGGTAGGGTAGGTGGTGAAAATCATCACAGTGATAACTGCCACTCATTAAAAACCTAAGTTATGCCAGGTACTGTGTCAGATGCTTTATATTCATTGCGCTCTCTAACAGTTAAATATGACAGGACTTATCAAGCTCTCCTCAGATGAAGAACCTGCAAGTTACAAAGCTTGGGAATGTGCCTGAATTCACAGGTCTGGTATGTGACAGAGCCGAGGCTAGACTTCTGGTCTGAATTCTTCTAGAGCTCACTCTGTTCCACTCCTGCAGCCTGTGGCCCACCCTCTGTCTCTTGATTCATTTCTCTCCATGACTCCATAATGCTTCTTGGGATAAAAAGGGCCTTGAACGCAAAGTACTAAAAGCACATGGAAAGAAGAAAGGTACAAACGATGAATACAATTTTGGCATTGTCCGTGGGCTTCATTTACCGTGGATCTGGCTGTGCTTAAACCCGGGGAGCTGACTTAGACCAGGGGCTGGCATTTTTGTCCAGCTCCAGCTCTTTTGTGTGTGGAGGCTCAGAATGTCACCCAGAATATGCCACTTTGGCATATTGATTATTATGCATTAGAAGTACTTGAGAGACGGCTAGTACAGAAGGGACAAAGCTGAGAGTGCACATATTCTTAGTGCAAAAATTCTAAAAATATGGCAAATCACAATCTCCGCCTTTATAATATTCCTTCATAATTCAGCCACATTCTTCAAGATAGCCACAACGAACAATCTAATACATTATTTTAAAGCTAATTCTAGGCTTTGTCATGTAGATGTATTATAAAAATACATTTTGATTTTAAAACAATGGGTAATAATATACATATTATTCTGCCATATATCTTTCCCACTTAGCATGAATGCAGGATCTTTCTAGGACAACACATATATAAATACACTTCACTATTATAACTGCTCCCATAGCATGTATGTGCCATAATTAATTTAACCATCTCCTTCTGATGGACACATAATTTGTTTCCCATTTTGCTATGACTTATAGAACTGAGATATTTTTAACATGACTAACTGGATTAAAATCTATCGTTCTGATAGCAAGGTAGAAATTGGGTTAAAGTGCAGAGTATGTGAAGATTGTAAATTTTTTATAAATATTGCAAAAATTACATCCCCAGAATACTCTTCCAATTCACATTCTCACAGATTAATGCATGTGAATACCATAAACACACACATATATTTTAGAAATCAAAAGTGCTTAATTTGAGAAACAAGGATTTAGTCAAAATGACCAGTTGATGGGGATGGAGCCAGATAGGACACTTAAACTTAGTGAGGGATGACAATCTGGGGAAGGAGCAATGTCCAGGGTCCACGAAAAACATCACATATAAATTCAAGTCCAGAGGGCCAAGAGCAGGCTGGTAGTCAGCATTCTGAATCCGGAGATCAGTGTATGATGGAGAAAGGATCAAAAGGACTGAAAGTGGGGAATCTGGATGGAGAGTCCAAGACAACTTGAATGAGCTTGGGAAATTTCTGAATCACCAATAATAGCTAGAAATTATATGGTTACCTGAATGGGGAGGTCTACTGGATGAAAAGACTTGGAATACACACCATCCCATAGAATTCCCCCACCTACTGTTATGCCAACTATAGCTGTCTTCTGCGTCATCCAGTAATGTTACCGGTGGATTCTGGGAAAGCTACATGTCTTGACCACCCTGGTGGTCCACTGAACCTTTGCCAGCGCATCAGGGCTGGTATCGGTCTTGATTCCTGCTGGCAATGGGTGTTGTGTCCCAGTGTACACTGGGCCCTCTCCAGTAAGTTCTGGGCAACATGAATGTTAATGAATAATGGCAGAGTTGAGACAGGCCAGAAGTACCAATGAGCAGTGGAAGGCGGCATGCAACTGCAAGAAGGAGGAAATTTGAAAGGGGCTACCTAGGTTGATATTCAGATAAAGGGCTAAATGTGGACATGTCTTCTAAAGAATAATCCAGTTGATGTCCCCAACACAGACTACTTTGCATGTTTCCTGAGTTTGTGACGCACCAGACAGTAGGTATCTTTTGACTGTGATCACTGCTCTACTGCTTGGGAGACAGGGTTAAGCTAAGGTGCAGAAATTTACAGATTTGATTCAGAAATCTGTGTTAATTGTACTCTCTTTTTTTAACTGGCTTTTTAACTGATGGGGTTGTGAAGAGTCCAATGCAGAAAGTATGATATGCCATCCTATTGTGAGCATTCCCAATTCCAAGACAGTAGTTGAGCCTGCAGCCATCACATGCTGCTCAAATACCTATAAATATCATGTATAATGTGGGCAATTTTTGTCTTTTAATTAATTAGTTTATTTCTAGTGCCCATTAAGATATCAGATCATTTTACTTGTCATATTCATCTGCAACATGATTTAAGTTGCCAATTTCCATTTGTAGGAAGGAAATTTTGAAAATCATAGTAGATTCAATGTAAACTATTATTAGTTGATAGCCCTGGAACCCACATAACCAACCCTGAGACCTTAGGGAAGACCATAATGACATAATTTTGTCATTATGTTTAATGACAAAAAGACATTGAACACATCTGTTATACCAAACTCGTATTTCATGGAGTGGTAGTGAGAAGTAGATGAGAAGGGAAACTGTTCAAGGGAAGGAAGGAAAAAAATGGAGTCTCTATTCTGTTGTAAAAGATATGTTTCTATTTTAATACTGGGCTTCTGTGTAAATTTTGTTTTAAAAAGAAAAACATACAACAGTTCACCTTTTAGAAAAACAATATCAGAAAAACAAAACAAAAACACTGAATAGCATGATCACCATTTTTTCTGGGGCCAATACTTTATATTTCCATTACTGGCACATACCTATAAAAACACTTTTTCAATTCTAATAGCTACTTTTTGCGATTTTTCTCTATGCTAGAGGGTTGTTAAGAATGACATTCAATGACTTAGGCACTGTCATTTCATGGTGTTGGTTCACAGGGGAAAATTGTGCCAAACATTCCAGTTAGCAATTTCCCAATAAGTTTTTTTTTTAATGGAACTTAAAGTCAAAGGTTGTTGTA